AGTTCAAATTTTTTTCAGAATAAAAATAAGACAACGTAATCTAACTTTAATTTTGTCAAAACTAAAGGCTAGTTTTTAAAGGTTTTTGAGTTAATATTGACGGCATAGCAAGGCCCCTTATTCCTTAATCAAGTCCTTCTTTGTACTAACGGTCGTGATGAACGATGGTGCATGTATACGCTGTCAAAAACGAAGATGTAAATCTTTTACCTTTATCGACAAAGGGATTCACGTTTCATATTTTCATGGCAATAACTACCAACGTTGTTATAAATATCAAAATATATTTTATTTTCATATTATGATTGTTTAAAATAACAACTCTGCATATTGACAATAAATAATAACTACATGTATCTATATATTGTATATTTACACTTTTTTTATCCTAATTATATTTTATTGTTGTTGGGATATGTTTTTTTATTTAATGTACCTATCGTAAAATTTATTTTAGTAATATTATGTTTTACCATTTTGAATATGAATTATTTTTTACTAAATGTTTCAAAGTTTTATAAACGTTTTAAGAGGACGGGACTCTACTTAATTTTTTTAAATTTAGACTTAAATAAAAAAAAAATAGTAAAATGTATAGTTAATTTATCAAAATACAAAATTAAAAAATGTATGCTGATTATTGGTCACACATTGGACTGGTTCGTTTAACTTACACAAAAGATTTCTAGTTCGTATTATTTATTTTCATGTTAGAACATCTCTTGATGCAACTATCACTATATACCTTTGTACCTATATGAAAAACGGCCTTATAGTGAAGACGATTTGTCAGTCTGGATATTTTATATTATAATTATATTATTACTAGATGATAAATTACTTCTAATGAATATATTGGTGGTCAAACAAAAAATAACTAAATTATTATAATTGTTTGTTGATATGTTTTATTGGTATATTACTGAATGAGCCCAACGAGGAATAGAGAACTGGGAACAATGACAAAATACTAAATATTCGCTTTTTTTAAACTCATTTTTCTGTTAATCTCTAACTTTATCAGTGGCGGTTATAAGGGGGGGGGCGATAGGTGGATCGCCCCCCCCCCTGGTCCGTGTTTTTTTATAATAAATTAT